TTCATCTAAATCTTAAAAAAAAAAAGAGTTAACAAATGACTGGAAGGAGAAGAGTATTTTAGACTAATGCGGTTTGTAAAAAATTTATTGAATTTTTGTGATTTTCATATAATATAGTTTGATGGTATTTATATCTCCTTCATTGAAGAAACAATAAAGTTGGTAGTTTGAGTAGAGATTAATGTGGAAAGAGTATAAGGTTCCAGAAAGACAGTATCTTTATGTAATATGGTAGGGTTTTTTGGTCTTTTTGAGACTGGGTCACCCTATAGCCACAGCTCTCCTGAAACTCACTATGTAGACCAGGCCGGACTCAGTCTCAAAGATTACATACCTAGGTATAATACCTTAAGAAGCTTAAATTTTATCTAAAATGGGAAGAGATGTGGTATATAACAAAGTATATACCACATGCTGTAACAAAGTATCACAGTCTGCATGGTTTAAACAACAGATATTTATATATTTTTTTTTACAGTCTTGAAAGCTAAAAGTCTAATATCAAGATGTTTTTTAGAGGCTTTTCTTCCAAAGTTTCTATCCTTGGCTTATAGATGTCTATCTTCCTGTGTCTTTACATGGTCTTTCCTCTGTACATACTTGGTTTGTTTTTTGTTTTTTGAGACAGGGTCTCCCTGTAGGCCTAGCTAGCCTAGAATTTGTCAATATGTAAACCAGATTGGCCTCCATCTCACACAGATCCAGCTGTCTCTGCCTCCCTAGTGCTGGGATTAAAGGTGTGTGTGTCACCACACTTGGCTAATTCCAGTTTTTATATAGATAGTACTTATAATGGCTGAGACCCTATCCCAGTAACTTGGTTTTTACTGAATTATCCCTTCAAGACTCTGTCTCCAAATAGAATCACAGTCTGAGGTACTAGGGTCTAGGGGGATATCAACATACCTGTCATAGGAGAGCATAATTCAGCTCATAACAGAGCTATATCTGATTCAAGTCCCTGTTCTAGTCTGTTTTGTGTTTCTACAAACTATCATAGATGGAGTAATTTCTAATAAACAGAAATTTATTCATTCATGGTTCTGAAGGCTGAGAGTGTAGACTTTGGTGACAGTCTTCTTAAAAAGATAAAGAGGGAGAAAAAGAAAAAGAAGGACTGACTTAAAGTTGGCATTTTATAATTCTTGTGACAATTGCATTAATTATCTCATTCTTGAGGCTAGTGTCTGAACGCCTCATATTAGGTCCCACCTCTGAACAGTGCCATATCAGGATCAAGTTTCCAGTATATGAATTTAGCAATCATCCAGATACTAAGGTAGATCAGGCCAGGGCAGGAAGTTTGGAAGACTGGTCTGTGTAGACATGATCTGAGCCTCACAAGAGACAAAAGACAACATGACAGAGAGAGGTTACAAGAATCAACAGGAAGGGGCTAAGGAGATGGCTCAGTGGTTAAGAGCACTGGCTGCTTTTGCAGAAAATCCAGGTTCGAATCCCAGCACCCATATGGCAAACAATCATCCGTAACTCCAGTTCCAGGGGATCCAACGCTCTCTTCTCTTCTCTGTGGGCAATGTATGACACAGGTGCACTGACACACACGCAGGCAATACACTCTCACACACAAAATAAAAATAAATTAATTAAAAAAATTTTTTAATGAATCAACAGGAAAACAATGTTAAAATCATTTGTTGGAACTCGGCATGGTGGCACACATCTGCCACCATAGCGCTTTGGAGGCTAAGGCAGAAGTATCTGAAATCTAAAGTCAGCTTAGACTTCACAGCAAAACCCTGTCTAAAAAATCTACAGGCAGAGGATATATTTCAGTGGTAAATGACTTGCCCAGCATGTGCTAGGTCATGACTTCAATCCTTAGCATGGCAATAAAGAAATAATCATTTTGCATCCTAGAATTCAATTTATCAGCCATAGACTTTGGACAATTCATTCTATGGCCTTTGGACAGTTCAGCTCTAAACCCTGATGTATACTCATGACTTGCCAGTGGACATCAGATATACTACTTCCTGGCATTAAGACTTCTCAAAAGTCTCTGATAATACTGTTTTTTTTTTTTCTCAAGATCTATATACCTCCTGAACATATATTTAGGTAGAGGTAGTCAAATGGTACCTCCCCTATGAAGCTTTTACTATCTCTGGCAGTGAGTAACTTCCTCCTGTGAACACTCAAGAACATTGCACATAGATATTCCCACATGATGCTATGATTGCTTTGTGGTTTGTTTGCTTGCTGCCCCTGATAAACTGTAAGTTCTTTGTGGGCTGGGGTTGGTTTTCTTTCTCTGCTTCTCTACAGCTTGACGTGGTGATCCCCCAATGGAAAACATTCACTAATCTGATGAATTTATGGGCAATGGTAGCACATGCCTTTAATCCCAGCATCTGAAAGGCAGAGGCAGGCAGATCTGTGAGTTGGAGGCCAGTTTGGTCTATATAGAGAGTTCCATGACAGCCAGGGCTACATAATCAGACCCTATTTTAAAAACAAAGAAAATTTTTGATGAATTTGTAAGAATCAACGTTTACCACCTCATACCACCTAGAGAGTCCCAGGCAAGGACTCTCCCCATAATATCTCCCTTTTAAGAAAATACTAGAAAGAGAATAAGCAATAAAGTTAGATTTCCCTTATTTGGGGATAAATCTCTAATAGAAAGAATCAAGATATTTGACTAATGAGCAAGGAAAAGTCCAGGAAAAGCCAGGGAAATTAGCAGAGTTTCCAATCTGTCACCACTTTAATCCATCTTGTAAATCACCTCTAGTTTAATTTTAAAGGACAAAACACCACTGTCTTTTTTAATTTAAGAACTTAATTAAGTAGCTCTCATTGCCTAGCTGATCAAATCCAAGTTTTCCAGTCTGGCTTTGAAGGCCTTCACAGCCAGGCAGCGTTTAACTCACCCAATTCACTGTCCATAGAATGGTCAAAATTAAACTTCCTGAAATACACTTAATATCCTTTTGCTCAGAATGTCCTCCAGTCTGATTGCTGGTTGATACCAGCTCCCCTACTTCCTCCAGGGGATGATAGATTTTATTCAGGCACTTGAGAAGCAGTTATAACAAAATACATAAAAACCTGAACTTGTAAAACTTACCCAGGAAGATGAAAATTAATAGAAATTAAAATGTAGTTAAAAACAAAAGCTAGAAAAGGAGATGAGAAGGTCTTGTATATCAGGTGAGTTACACTATTTTTTTTTCCCACTTCTTCATTGTTATTATGGACCTCTGACTTAGATTACTGTATACTCAGAGATTAGTGCAGCTCTCATCAGTTATTTTTTGCTTTGTTTTATTGTTTTTCTGGAACTCGCTATGTAGACCTAGCTGGTCTGGATCTCACAGAGATTTGCCTGCCTCTGCCTCCAGAGTGTTGTAATTAAAGGCATGAGCCACCACACCTGGCTTTTATCACTTATATTTTAAAGGCCAGCCAAGGGAAGGTCAGTCTCTTGGGATGACATTAAGCAAAACATGAAGAGGATGCTTAAAGAACCACAAGGAAGACTAGGCTAAGAGCATTATGACAAGAAGGAACAGCAAATTAGATATGTATCTAAGGAACTGAAAGGAAATCTATGTGCCTGGGATTGGGTGACCAAAGGAGGAGCTGTAGATCTGGCCAGAAGATAATGAGTCCAGATGGCTTAGGGCTTTGGGGAGAGACGTAATACATTCTTTACTCTGAGCAAGATAGCAAGGTTTAGGGGGAGCTAATCAAAATTTGGCTTTAAAACTTATTCTGACAACTGTCTAAAAACACAGAAGGAGGAGGAGAAGCACCGTTAGTGAGGAGGCTGTCCTAGAAATCAAAACAAGAGATGGAGATTTGGGCTAGGGATACAACTTTGAGGCGGTGTGAACTGACTTGATGGGGATGTGCCCTACAAGTTGGAATCAAAGAGTTTGTTGGTGGATTTAATGTCAGGTATGAGAAAGAATGGACGGGGGTTGTTTTTACTGAGATGAATGCAGATGGAGGAAGTTTGTGTGAACTACCTGGAGAAATCTGGCTTGGAATATGCTAAGGTTGAGATTGGGAAACATGGGTCTAGGATTAATTATAATCTGTGCTGAGGGCACTAATTTAAACTGCATGTAAAGCCCCTTGGGCTGGATGTTATCACTTTAAGGCACTGCTACAGAGAAGCGAATCCTGGGCACTCCAAAAGACAAATAACAAAGGAGACTTCAGATAGCTTAGAAAAAAAAAAAAATCCACTTCCATACCATAATTTTTCATCATAATCATGACCTGGTCCTTCATTATTTAACCACACTCCTTTCCCATACAGGATAGTCCGTTTTTAATACTCATCAAATCCTCTTTTGTAGCATGGCTTTTACCTTTGCTGGGCTTTTTTTGGGGGGGTGGGGGGAGTCTTTTTGAGGCAGGGTCTCCCTGTAGCCCCAGCTGTCCTGGAACTCACTATGTAGACCAGGCTGGCCTTGAACTCAAAGAGATCCGCCTGCCTCTTGTGCATCCGGAGCTCTGGGATTAAAGGCATGCGCCACCACCCTTGTCTCCAACTGGTCTCCTCTTTCATTCATTACTCTCAGGTAAACTGCTGCAGCAAACTTTCTGTAATCACCCAACTTTCACCTGGATTTCTCTAGCCATCCTAATTCCCATTTGAGTATTTTCTAGCTGCCCTAATCAAATTGGCTCAAGCCACTCCAAGTCAACGCTCTTTAATCTACCCCCAGCCCCCCTCCTTTAACAAGTGGTTACAAAGTGATCACAGTGTGCCTCCCTGTAACTTCCTAGAGCAAGCTGCTTAGTATCCTCTCCTTTGCCGTGTCCTAAAGCAATCGGCCTTGCTGAAGGGCACTAACTAATTTGTACAACCGAGAGGGAATTCCGAGGAATTTGAAAACAAGAAATTAAACCAGAAGCTAAAGGCCCCACACGACGGCGAGCAGAAGGAGGGCCCACGCTCTGCTCTCCAGTTTGCGCGGAGGCTCCTCCCGAACCACCGGCACACATGCGCAGTGAGGGCCACGCCTGTCCGTTTGTCCGCGCTATCAATAAAGTTTTAGCGGGCAGGCTGTCTCTTTTCCCTGGCAAGATGGCGGAGTACGACCTGACTACTCGCATCGCGCACTTTCTGGATCGGCATTTGGTCTTCCCGCTCCTGGAGTTCCTCTCTGTGAAGGAGGTGAGGAAGCTGGGAACGCGAGGAAGGCGTGGGGCCGCGGGAGGCGCCAAGAGAGGCCGGCAGGCGGCGGCCGGAACACCCGGCGGACACACGTGAGAGCCGGAAGCCGGCCGCGAGGCCCGATCCTGCCGGGCCCGCGGCCGGCGGGTCCCAGTAGCCTTCCGGGTTGCTCCGGACTGTGGGGTTCGGCGGTGGGGAGGAAGGGGGTGACCGTATGGGGCTCTGGGGTGTCAGTCCCTGGGGTGTCAGTCCCTGGGGACGGTCCCGTCCTGGGCAGAGCGCTGGAGCTTGAGGCCGGCAACCAGTGCTGCAAGAAATTGTGTTTTCTTTTGGCAGAGAGCGGTCTTGGGTTTAAGTTGTTGTGTGCAGAATTCCTTGCAATAATTTTTGTACAGTTAAAAGGAATAGGTGGCATTCTTTCCTGCTCTTCATAGGCATTCAGTTCCCAGAAACCTAGCTAGCATGTATTGTCAGGTGACGGCAGGACCAAGAACAAACCCACAAGCTGTAATTTAAGATTTGTTTTCAGGATTTTGATGTTCAGACTTTATGTAATTTCATTCAGTCGTTTATATGTCTTTAGCTCTCTGAGATGGCTCTGGAGCATGTAGGTAGTTATGAGAGTTGAACTTAAAACGTTGTCAACACCCAAAGAACTTTATTTTGGGGCTTGGAAATAAAGATGGGTTAGAAAATACTAGGTTTAACTATACATTGACTTTATAGGACAATTGATACATTTTTGTAATTTTAATAGGTAATATTATAATGAAGGACTACAGTTTTGTTCAGAAAAAATAATGAATTCTGCTTCTGGACACAGATTATAATAGGCAACTTCAGATGCAGGGAGTGGATTCTTTGATGTTCCAACAGCAAAAAAACCCAGTATAATTCCAGATAGTTAATAAAACAGATGTAATCCTCATATTCATCCAAAACTTACTTACTTATTTTATTTATTTTGGTGGTGCTATTGCTGTTTTGGACAGGGTTGCCTTAGTCCCAGTCTGCTTGGAAGTTACTATGTGGACCAGGCTGGCCTTCATCTCACAATATCCAGCTGCCTCTGCTTCCTTTTCTGGAATTAAAGGCGAGGACCACCACTCCCAACTATGAAAACTTTTTTTTTAACACATGTGGACCACCATAAAATTGTTGGTGTTTGGGAACAGCAAAGTTAGTTTTCAATAAATGCTCAGGAGCTTGGTACATTTTTTGCTTTGATTTTTCTTTTCTATGCTTGTATTCTAGAGGTGAAGTAAAAAACCTTGGGTGCCTTTTGTTTTATTTTATAGGTAAAAGAGTCATTTAGCAAAGATAAGGAGAAATGTACTATACATTGAAATCCCTTACCTGCTGTATATGGTAGGGATGCTTCTAAACTTCCTAAAGTTGATATTGTTTATGTGTTATGTCTTTTTAAAAAGACTAACAGAAGGGGGGAATGTGTAAGTATAGCTTAGTTTTTCATAAAGCAAGATCATAAGTGAATCAATAGCAAACTGCTTGCAAGTGTGTTGGTAAGATAGATTTTTTTTTTTTTTGTCTTTTTGAGACAGGGTCTCCTTGTAGCCCCAGCACCTGGAACTCATTATTGTAGACCAGGCCAGCCTCAAACTCACAAAGATCCTCCTGCCTCTGCCTCCCAAGTGCTGGGATTAAAGGCGAGCACCACCACGCCAGTAAGATAGTTTTAATACAGCAAGAGGAAGCCTGGTGTAGCAGTTACTTATTAATATTGGGACATGGAATTTTGAAAGATCCAAGATGAAACCCAGACATCTCACCTTTGAAAAAGTTACTTATTTAGAGTTATGTATCTATGTCAAAAGTGTATGTCAGAAAAGTATTAGCCAAGTACTGTTAAAATGAAGACGTTTTGGTTACCTTAATTGAGCAAAAGGGACTTTGAGAAGAGGCGTGAGTCTTGAAAAGTAGATAGGATAGAATCGGTGATCATAATAGTATTAAGAAAAGCTTTTTGACCAGGTGTGGTAGTGCACGCCTTTAATCCGAGCAGAGGCAGGCTGCTTGATCTCTTGTGAGTTCAAGGCCAGCCTGGTCTACATAGTGAGTTCCAGACCAGCTGGGACTATAGGGAGATCCTGTCTCAAAAAGACCAAAAAATAAACAATTTGATACATTAGCAGTACATTGGAGAAATGTAGGCTCCAGAGAAGAAGCAACATCAGGTTCTCTGAGTGTTTTCAGGGCTTGATATAGAGTTTGACATAAAGGCCTTTATGATTAGATGATTATTTGATAATTAGCTAAATTAATATGTATTTGCACCTCTGTTTTTATTCTTGTGTGAAGTGTTGGAGACAGATGGAGCAGAGGATAGAATCCTGGGCTTTGAATTTCGACCTGAATTAAGATCCTAGCCCTATTAATACTTCTGCACTTCAAGTTCTTTCCCCTTTAACTTCTCAGTTGTTATATCTCTCAGTGTATGATAGATTTGTTAGACCTTTTTTATTTTAAGATAAGATCTTGGTAGGTGTCCCAGGATGGGTTTGAACTCTAAACCAACCTATCAGTCTCCTGAAGGCTGGGATTAGTGTACCATTATGCTCAACTTTGTTTTTTTGTTTTAAATTTTATATTTACTTTTATTTTATGTATACGAGTGTGACATCTGCATGTGTGTAAGTGTACCTGCATCATGCAGAAGAGGGCATCGGGATCCTCTGGAACTGGAGTTAGGAATGGTTGTTAGCTGCCTTGTGGGTGCTGGGATTTGAACCTGGGTCTTCTGCAAGAACAACCAGTGCTCTTTATATAAATGAAATTCACCACCAGGTATATTTGTTGGTTTGATACTGGGCTTTGGACCAAGACCCTCTGCATGACAAGCAAGCAAGCCTTACTATTGTGAGCTATACTCCCAGCTCTTTATTTTTAGGAACAGTTTCCCTATGTAGCCCAGGCTGTTCTAGAACTTGTGATTCCAGAGATCCTCTGACATCTGCTTGGATTATAGACATGTCCCACCCTATCAGACTTCATGATTTGTGAGAGTCATCCATGTTTTTATGAAAGCTGTTCTGCATTTTCAGTGCTGATGGTTAATCTGTTGTATTATACCAGTTTGTTTAGCCATTCTGATATTGATGGAATTGGGTGCTATGAAATTTTTAGAAATGTACTTTAAATATATGCACTCTTGTTTTGGATACTTTGTAGCAGAATTGTTGAGTCAAAAGCATGAAGCATGTATGGCTTTAGGAGATAAAGCAATTCTTTAAAGTGGCTGTAGAGCATTCCAGTTAGTCTACGTTTACACTAACACCTATTCAGTCAGGTTTTAGTTTTTATCATGGTTTTCATATACACTCCCTTTCTAATTAAGGAAGGTGAGAACTTTTTCATGTTCCTTTGTCCATTCCTTTATCTTGAAAGACTCTTAAGCTCTTTTACCCATTTCAGCCGAATTACCTGTTTTCTTTTTTTACTGTTTTTTTGGAGCTTTATATATAACTTGGATCATTCAGCTTTGATTCCGTAGATATGCCATTTGACCTCTTAAATCATTTATTGCCATGGGCAGTGAAATACTTTGGCCTCTATCTGGATTTTTCTTTCGGGAGTAAAGCTAAATGCAATACAGAAAGAAGTCTTTTGCTTACTACCTCTCTTTTTGAATATTACATAGAATTCTTATGTGTCTCTCAGTAGCCTTCTTGCTTATGTGAGTTGCTCTCTGTATGGATATGTTTACTCCCTGTACTAGGAGTTAATGTATTTCCTAAACACTCTGAAAAGCAAAGACCTGGCTTGAGGTTGTTGACTTGGAAAGTGGGTGGGAGTTTTACTTTAGAGGTATAGATAGATAAACATTGTAAAGGATTGCAGCTATTTAATGAGAGAAAAATGTGCAGAGGTAAAGGAATGGTTACATCAAGCAGAGGTGGGTGATCATGTAGATGCAAGGCATAGAAAGTAAAACATTGATGAGCCTCTTCCTAATTACCTTCTTGCTTTGCAGTACAGAAGGTATAAGTATTTTTGTGTATGCACAGGTTTGTCTAAAAAGGGTAAAAGATGGCATGATTAGTCCCAGCACTCAGGAGGCAGAAGCAGGCAGATTTCTGTGAATTTAAGGCTAGCCTAGTCTACATGGTGAGTTCCAGGACAGCTGGGTAGCTATAGGGAGACCCTGTCTCAAGAAGACTTAAAAAAAAAAAAAACCCTCTAAAAAAAAACCTATAATCAAAATAATCGGAAGTGAGTGGGAATGGCTTTAGTTTGTAAATGCTTTTATTTTCAAATCTTTGGTAAGCAAAAATATTCTGTATTGATTGGGTGGTTTTTATGTTGGTTGCTTTCCTTATTATAAGGTGCTTGAACTAGTAGTTCTTAATTTGTGACGAGCATGGGTGCACTCACGCAGATGACACTGAGCACTGAATCTCTAGCACCTTGTGTACACTGGGCCAGTGCTCTACACCTTTAGTCCTACAAGGTTTAAACACATTTTTTTTTAGTTGTGTGAGTGAGTGATAAGTGTATGTGTGAGTGCGGGAGCGCAGCTACCACAGCATGTGGCTGGAGGTCAGAGGACAAAGGTTAACTTTGTACAGTCAGTTCTCTTCATCTTTATATGGGTTCCAGGGATCTGATTCAGGTTGCCAGGCTTGCTTGGCAAGCCCTTTACTTGCTGAACCACCTTTCTGTCCCCTATAATGTTCTTTTATATAAAGATTGTTTTATGAAGTATATTTCTATATAAACTAAGCTTAATTTTAATATGTTTATCTTAGGAACTTGAATATGTTCATTAAAAAGTAATTTTCTCTTGCAGATATATAATGAAAAAGAATTATTACAAGGGAAATTGGATCTTCTTAGTGATACAAACATGGTAGACTTTGCTATGGATGTATACAAAAACCTTTATTCTGATGATATCCCTCATGGTAAGTTTTATCCTCATAATTGACGCTCGTCTTATAACTGAGAATGTGTTTAAGGTTTTATAATATATGAAAGAGTTGTAGCCAAATAACTATTGGAGTGTTTCTAAAGTTCATTGGATGAAAATACAACAGAATAATGTGATTTTATTCCAGTGAAAAATGAGAATCTGCTTTAAAACGTCACATCTTCGGTTGCTAGTATATTGTGTTTTTAGAGCTGTGCTTCCACTACAGGTTATTGGCTTATAATATTCTGAGAACGCTGTAGTTTGGTTGCCTTTTCAATTGCTTCTTATGTACTTTAGAGATTTTTTTTCCCCCTATGTAACTTTTTCTCTGGGTATGGTCTCTTAAAACCAGTCTCTTCAGTTTACTGGAAAGACTCTTAAAAATGGATATTTTGCTCCACATCCTAGACCTATTTAACAGAAACTATTGGGTGAGGCCCTAAAGTTGGAACAGTGGTTTCCAAACTGTTTTTTCAGTGAGGTAGATGTGTCTTAAAAAACTACAACAGCAACAAAAGAGAAAACTGGCCTGTGGTCCTTTAAGTAAGGAAGTACTGTACCATTTTTTTCTACGCATGTAACACTTAAATTCTGGCAGTAGCAAAATACATTTTACTTTGTGTGAATTGATGTTTCTCAAAATTTAGTAATAGGCTCCCCTATTTCCTTTTCTTTTTGAAGCACAGTTGGGTGTTTTGTTTTGTGTTTTTTTTTTTTTTTTTTTTAACTTGTAGATCTTAAGCACACTCTGATGGAAAGAATCAGACATACACATGTTGGGCCAGGGAGATAGCTCACTGGGTTAAAGTACTTCCTGTGAGTGCTTAATGACCTGAGAACACTCCCTGGAACCCACACATGGAAGGAGAGAACCAATACCACTCTCACACACACTTCAACGTATATACCTAATAATAAAAAATTTGGAGACAAAAAAAAAAAACCCATACCCACATGTGTATGGACTTCTCAAGGGAGAGAAGCCTGGATTCCCTTAGAGAAACACAGCTCTAAGAGTATAATATACAGTGCAGAAATTGTTAAAATAAACATATAACCTGTTTTACATAGAGTAGCAGTGACTTTAAATTTCATTTGTGATGAAAGTGAAGCTTTGTGTTTTGATATAGGTCTTACTGTTGTGTACCTGTGTCTCAGCCTTGTAAGTGACTTGAAGTACAGGTGTATGTCTCCACACATGCAAAACAGTGTCTATTAGTTTCTGAGTGTTCTAAGTCACATCACCAACATAGATTATGTGTATTTTCTCTTGTTCCTGATGAAGTAGTAAATGGGAACTATAGAATTTAGTTTGTGAAATTACAGTTGAATTTATAGTAAAAACATCTTTGACTAATTTCAGATTCTATTCTACCTAATAATAATATGTAAACCCATTAGTACCTCTGTTTCAGAACTCTAGAGTTAATTTAAAATTAAATAGAAACAAATACGAGGACACTTGGGTTGAAATCATAGACTGTGGCGTTCCCTGGCAGGCCTTTCCTACCTGCTTTCTTTCACTTCCACCCTCTTTGTATATCAGCAGTTTTCCCCTTCGCAGTAGGAAGATGATTCCCTCCCTCTTTATGTGCCTTTGTGGCTCTAGAAAAAGGAAATTATGAATCTGAGGAAGTTGCTAATGCTCTATGACACGTGACTATATTAAGAATAAAACAGTGTATGTATAGTTACAATTAATTGAAATTGTTCTAGACAGTCTCATGGGGAGCAGTGTTGTTTTAACTTCCCAGTATTCTTGCGTTTTTCATTAGCCTTGAGAGAAAAAAGAACCACAGTTGTTGCACAACTGAAACAGCTTCAGGCAGAAACAGAACCAATTGTGAAGATGTTTGAAGATCCAGAAACCACAAGGCAGATGCAGTCAACCAGGTAATCTTTTTGGATTCTATAAATTCTCTTTTGGGACTGAGAGATGGTTCAGTGGTTAAGAGCACTGGCTACCCTTACATAGCACCTGGTTTTGGTTCCCAGCACTCACATGGCAGCTAACTCTAGTTCCATGTGATCCCAGGACCTCTTTTGACCTCTGAGGGCATTGTATGAATGTCATGCACTTAAATGCACACACAACATTCAAATAAATATTTAAAAGTTCTCTTTTCTAGATTAATAAAAAAGTAAATCTAGTATCCTGTAGTAAAAGTTCATGATTTAAGTGATTGCTTCATTTATTTTCATTTATCTTTAATTTCTAGGGAACAGTGTTCCTTAATAATAAAAGTTAATATTAATTTTTTGAAAGATGTTTTAAACCAGTCATTCATACTTGATTATTCTCTGTCAGTTCATACTTGTTTCCCTTCTCAGGAGACATTTGGCAACATCTGGGGATTTTGATTGTCATAATTAGAGGGGTGCTGTTGGCACTGAGGAAGTAGGAACTGGGCTGATGTCAGACATCTGGTACTTCTCCCCAAAGAGTCATCCAACCCAGAATACTACTTAGGGAACCTGTGTCCAGGGAGCCCTAGAGTACATAGGTTACTTTCTGCAGGAAAAACCTGAACCCACTTCTCACGTACACTCTCACGTTCATGCTCTCGTATCCTTTCTGTGTCTGTATCAGCCCAGCTGACAGATTATTTTAGTTCTAACTTCCCTTTTGCTAGAAATAGACTTTATTGTTTGACTTCTAAAGAAAACTTGTTCCTTTAGTCTGGCTTAATATATATATTGAACCCTTTGGCATTACTAGAAGTGTTTAAAAAATAAAATCTACCAAAATTGTGTTAAGTCTTAGTTACCAATGCATTTACTTCAGAAATTGCCAAAGATTTTGCTATGTTCTACTGTTAGTTTCTATGTATATTCAAACCAGATTTTTTTTTTTTTTTTTTTTTTTTTTTTTTTTTTTCTTTCTTGATGAGACAGGGTTTCCCTGTAGTCCCAGCTGGCCTGGAGCTCGAAATGTAGACCAGTCTGGCCTCAAACACTCAGATATCAGCCTGCCTCTGCCTCCTGCGTGCTGGGATTACAAGAATGCACCACCATGCCGGGCTACAAACCAGATTTTTAGAGACTGATTCTAGGCTTTTACTTGTGATTTGGGGAAGTGTGAACCAGATACTAGAAAAGTAGCAAACATTACACTATTATTCTCCCATATACAAAGTTATATGTTAAAAAGAGGAAGATACAGCTGTGCATATGTGCATTTCTATTAAGCTATTTGTATACTTTTAAGAGTAAAAGGAGTGATTCTAGACCTTCAGGCCTCATGTCAGTATCCACATAGTGATAGTTGAAATAATCCAGATGTTACAGTATAACAGAAAATATAGGCTCTGTTAGGAACTTAAAGATTGGAAATGATAAAATTAGGATAAGAATAAAATGGATATGTGTTTTGCACATATTAGACAATCTTTATAACTTCATGGTACCAAGTTGAAAACAAATGGAGGAACCAAGTGTTCCAAATTTGTTATCTCATTAGACTTATACTTATTTTCAAAGTAATGATCTCTTTCTACTGTTCCTCTCTTTCTAAAGATTTTATTAAACATATACTATTATTTCTCATATTTTCTTAGCTAAAGGACAGTGATTGTATACCTGAGTAATGTAAGGTTTATAACATAAGATTACCACTGTTATGAAGAAGCCTAAGAAAATGTTTTAGTTTTGAAAATACTTTTAAGTTAAACACTTTGCCCCTTTATCCTAAGTTCATGTTCCTTACGTTTAAAATATGAAATGTTGTTTTATTCTAGAAGTCATATTTCTGTTGTCTATATAAAGTGTGGATAATAATGTAGACATTAGATCTGCTGTTTTGTGTTCTACAGCCTATAAAACGCAATAATCTTGACTTTTTATTATTAAGGGATGGTCGGATGCTATTTGACTACCTGGCGGACAAGCATGGTGTAAGTATTTTAAAAGGTGCTTCAAATAGTCAAATTCTATAAAGTTCATTAAAGATTAATGTTGTTCAGATAAGTTCATAGCTTGGCATAAGAATATATCTTTCAGATATACTTATTAAATAGACCATCTGGGAACATACCAGATACATTTTAAAGTTTTTAAAAAAATTTGTCATGATAGGAAAATAAATGCTTATAGTCCTCTTTTGGTAACAAATCCTCACAGTTTTTGCTTTATTCTGGATCATCATATAAAATAGTAGCTCATGTTACTGCCAACAGAAAACTAAGTAACAGAGCATGGGATGTTCTCCCTCCCTCCCTTCCCTCCCTCCCTTATTCCTTTTCTCCTTTTTGTTAGGATTTTTGAAACATGGTCTTGCTATGTAGCCCAACCTGTCATCAAATATGTGGCAATCCTGCCTGTTTCCCAGGCCTGGGATTACAGGAGTTTGCCACTGTGTCCAACTGAGGATTCTTTTTCCTAGTTGCTTTACTTACAATATAAGTAAAGGCAGAACTAGATTTGAATTAGAAATGCTTTTTTTGAGGAGTAGATAACATTTTAACTGCCTTATGGAATGCAGTAGCACTTGCTGTTATGGAGGTCTTCATAAATTCCCCAACTCATAAATAAATGCTATAGTCTTTCCTAGCCATCCTTCATTCCCCTTTTGTTAACTTAGAGTGTAACACTTTGCATGTAATTAAGCTTATTTGCATATAATTTAAACTTTTAACTTTCTCAAGCTTCATCTCCCATTTAATGATTACCATGACAAGGATTGTTGATCACTGTGCCTAGTACACTCTGGTTTTGATATAGAATATTTGGTAGTGGGTTTTTTTTTTTATGTTTTAGTATTCAGTTCTTGTAGATTGCTTCAGTTTTATTTTGTTTACATTATTAACTCTAAAAGTTGGTGTCATTTTAAGGCCAGTTTTCAGGGAACAGAGGTTTATTGTACGTGTTATATAAGATGCACAAAACTTGCAGGTATGCATGTACATGATAGTTGTCTAGCTTAATCAACTTAGAAAATGGGTTTACATTAGACCTCCAGCTTCAGTTCAACTTTATATTTCAAGAATGTCAGTATCTTTATAGTTCACTACTCTGAGGTCAAAATGGGGCACATTAACATTGATAGTTCTTAATATATATTTTAAAGGTCAGGTGTTTCTCTGATTATGATATTATTGGTGTCAGCTTTCAGGAGACATTAACAGTATTAAGTTCTTAGCATTTACAAAGTAAATGAATGGAATTTCACAACTCGAACAATTTTTTTCCCAGTTTAGGCAGGAATATTTAGATACACTCTACAGATATGCAAAGTTTCAATATGAATGTGGAAATTACTCAGGAGCAGCAGAATATCTTTACTTTTTTAGAGTATTGGTAAGTACCTGCTTGTTTTTTCCCTTTGCCCTCTGCTTTGTAGAATTCTTGGTTCCTCAAAATTATGTCTAGTGATTTGAGTCTGTCAGTTAAGTTCTAAAATAGTCATTGGCAAAGAAGAAAGCTGAGGGAAAAAAGCAAACCCAAGAAGAACTTTCACAACAGAAAACCTTGTTAGGGCCTCAAAATTTGGAGTGGGGAGGGGCTAGTAAGATGGCTTAGAAGATACGTATAGGTGCTTTGGAGCACAAACCAGGCCACCAGCGTTTTGTCCCTGAATCCAGGTGAAGGTGGATGGAAAGAACTGACTCCGTAATTTGTCCTCTCGGCTCCATGTGTGTGTCGTGGCATGGGCCCATACACAGGCATGTATGCTCACACAGCATTAATAAGTAAAAATTTGAAAAGAATTTTGGAGGGAGCTTTAACTTAACTCTGAAATCCAAAAAGTAGGAACTGCTGAAATTTACATATTCTATGAATTTTAGTATTAGCCATAGTCTGTCATATAATGGATTTTTTATGTTACTATAAGAAAAGTGAGCAGCACATTGCAGGTTTAGTAAATTGTACATATATATTTCTTGTTCCAAACAACTGTAATCCTATGATTTTTTAAAAATTATGGCTTAATATTAATTTCTGTTTCCTGTATATGAGCTGATAGAATGTAGAGATGAATGGTTTCTTTATAATATGGGGTATAGATAATTTGAATGGTATTAATTAATCAACATTATTATTAGTCTACTGGTCAGTTCTTGCATTTGGTGATTTTATAAAGGAGATAGAATTATGTTGAGCCAGATTAAAGATCAGGCCTTCAAGTTAACAAGTTTTCTCATTCAAGTATTTAAGTAATTATAGTAAACAGATAAGTGCTTTTTAGAGTAATCAAAGTTCACCTCTTATCTGGCCTTTTTTTCTGCGTGCATGCATGTGTGCGTGCGTGCGTGTGTGTGTTGTGTGTGTGTCAGGGTCTCCCTGGATCTTAGAGATCCACCTGGCTCTGCCAACCTTCTGTCTTATCTTGGATGAATCCATTTATTTGTCTTTATTGTCTGTTGTTTTTCTCTTTACTTTTAGCTTCAATTGTCACAAAGACAAGATTTAGGCATGATGTCTTCAGAGAAATTAAAATTCTCTGTTTGGAGTGTTTGCAGGGGACAGATAAGTGTTATTTATTCAGATAATTTCTGCACTGAGATTGCAAGGGCAACCTCAGTTTCTAAAACTGTCTATCATCTTTCAAGGAAACAAATATTTTCTTTTTATTTCCAGGCTTTATTTAAAACAAATTATTTTTCTGTTACTCCCATTCGTAAATGAATTCATTTACAGATTAACTGTGATTAGCTTACAAGTGCATTGGAGGTAATCATTGATGTTTAACTTGAAGTGACTTATCAGAAAATTCCATCAGTTTTACTTTGAATATTACCAGGGATTTAGCAGAGCAAAAGTTGATTACTTTGAGACTATAAACAGCTTAAGCTAGGTTTGTAAAATCAGAAGCCTGGTATGATTACAGGTACATGAAAAGAGTCAGTTATTCATATCATTTGTTACTGCTGGGAGTGAATTTTGAGAATGAAGATTTAGTATCATGTTAGAGTTCCAGCACAGTAAATTTATTGTTGCTGGTCAGTGAGTGAACGTGCCATTTCCCTAAGACATGGAAACTTAAGGTAACTGCTGGAAATCCAGATATTGAAACTCTTCTAGTATATCCCTGCTTGAAAGCAGGTTGGTATGAAAAGCCAACTGTAATGACATGGAGTTGAGCCAGAGCAGTGCACATGAACCTTTTTTTGGGGGTTGCAGAACTTGCTGCCGTTGGACAGAAAGCTTTTATCCTACCACATGTAACACATTTTAGCTTTAGTAGTATGATGTTTTTGTAGTGTGGTTTTTGTGATTAGTCTAAAAATTTCTGTAATTAGATACATACTATAAAACTTGGGAGTTTTTAAAATTATAACAATTAGGTAGTTTTCTATCTTTAGAAAAATTTAACTTTCAGTTTTTGCATCATTCTTAAGAATAGAAATTCTAGGTGCACACATATGACATTTGAGTTCCAGCATAAAATTAATATGTTATACATTCAGAGCAGCAGGCATAGAAATTGGATTTCTTAGAAGTTATATAATAGGCATTTTAAAATTTAATTTTATTGTCTAATTTTGTACTATAAAACATTGGAAGTTGTTTTCTATTGGTTTAGTGTCAGAATTAACATAGTTAAGATTCAAAGAATAGGTATCAATTATATTTTTTCTTTTGATTTAGATAGTACCATAAAATCTATGTATTTGTTTGAGATAGTAATAGCAAAAATGAAAACTGTTTTGGATTTGGAGTGAAATTATCAATGTTTTAGTTAATTTTTCTGCGTTAACTTTTTTTTTCATTTCTAGATTCTTTGGTTACTCTTAAATCTATGGTTAGGGAAACGTAAGCTATGAAAGAGCCATTGTAACTATGGTCCGAGATTAGAATTTGACTCTCCAAATGACCTATTGTAGGTCAGTGTTTATAAATTAAAGCTGTGTGACCCTAGATTTATTTTTAAAAGACTTGGTGGCTTTTAGAATACAGTGAGGAATGTTTAAGTACACCCTATCTGTTTATGAAACGTCTTTGCATTGTGCTTTAGGAAATGTGTTAATTAAAATGAAATTGAGGGTTGGTAGGAATTTTTGAATATTTTTTAAAAGTTAGCACTAAATTTTTGTGCAAATCTGTTCTTATTATATAGCCTTTAGTTTGTCTCTAAAATATGAGCCATCCCTACAGCTGTTTGAAGTAAAAGTAATCTCTCAGTCAGAATTTAAGATGTATTAGCCATATTAACATATCAGTTCATTTAAAAATACTTTTCTATGATGCTCAAGGCACCTTTGGGTAATGATGACTTTAGGTAACTTAAGAATCTCAGCCACAGTTTTGACTCAGATATACCTACTGTAGTGTCAGTTTAAAAGATACGTAGTTTGGGGCTGGAAAGCTGGTTCAGTGGTTAAGAGTGCTGCATACGCATACAGCTCTTGCTGAGGACTGCAGTTTGAGTCCCAGCTCCATATCTGGCAATTTAAAACTACTTGTAACTCCAGCACAAGGAGGATCTGATGCCTCTGGCCCCTGAGGGCTCCTGCACTTACATATACATACCCACACACAGATACACAAACATGTAATTAAAAATAAAATAAATTCTTTTAAAGACACCTAGCTCATAAGGATTCTAAGGCATGGCTTATCATGATCTCAAATTGGAACACGTCCTAAATTGATTGTTTTTAGTTTTAGAAAAAATAATAATGTACTTAAGTTTGATGGCATATTTGAGGGCGGGGTATATGCACATGTGTGATTGGTACGTGTGTGTGGAGACCAAAGGAGGGCCTTGGATGTCCTCTTCTTAATACTTTCTGCCTTATTCCTTTGAGACAGGTTAGCAAACCCGGCTTCTAGTCTCTGTTCCCCATTCCACCGCCTAGCGCTGTGGTTACAGGCACAGATAGGGCCACACCCAGCTTTTTATGTGGGTGTTGAGATCCTAACTTGCACAATAAGCACTCACCCACTGAGCCATCTCTAGCCCCTTGATGAAACATTTTAATATTCAGATTTACTTTTTTATGGGTCAAACATTTAATCATGTGATTGAACATTTTTTGGAATTATATAAATTGATTTTTTTTATTTCTATGCCTACCCCTGGGTAACTATCACCAATTAATACAAAGAATATTTCCTGTGCCCTCAGATCATCATGCTCTGTCCCTAGTCATGGGCTTTCATTGATCTGTTTGGTTTGTCCCTAAACTAGTTTGTCTGGTCCAGCATTTCACATATGAAATGTTACAATGCATATGTTTGTGTCTGGCTTATTCTCTTATCAGCAAAGTTTTTGAGATGCATTCCTGTGACTCTTGTGTATCACAATTGTTACTGCTGAGCAGCATTCCATTCTTTGTATGTACTGCAGTCTGTTCAGTTATTAATCTGTTGGCAAACATTTGAATTACTTAGTTTTAGTTCATTATAGTGATGCTTATTTATATATGAATAATATTGTGGGTATACATTATGATAATAAAGTGTGGTTTCATGACTATGTGTCAAAATTTAATTTATAAATGTTGTCTGTTATTTTCTTGCTCTTAAAACTTGCAAAATGTTATCCAGAACACTGAGAACATTACTGCCATCAAAAAGAAACTCAGTGTCAGCAGCCTGTAACATAATACTCAGTTTGGATAATTTACAGTACTCTGGCATAATTTTCAATCATTTTGATAACCCTGCATTCACTGAGTTCTTAACATGTGTCAGGTGATGTAATAAGTGCTATAACTGAGATGGGGTCTCTTTTATCGCCAAGTTACAGAAGAGGAAGCTAAAGTACAGGTGGTTCCCTATTTAGAGTAGCAGTGATAGAACCAAAATACTTGGTGTTTGGCTTTCTAATCCTGCCTGTACAGTTTCAGTATGATACATACTACAAGTCCTTTATAGTATTGTGTAAGTGATTTGATGAAAAGTAAGTTCAGAATTTCACCTTGGTGTGTTAGTGTATTTTTCTTTCACAATCTCCCCTTGCTTTGCTGCTCTGGCGAATGATCAATTCGGACTCATTTTTATGTTTTCACTGCTTTGTTCTAACGGAATCCTGTTTTACTAATTTGGAACGTAATTCTTCAGTAGCTATTGTAATAAGCCCATGGCCCTGCATTTTTCTTTTCCTATTACATCTTCCATTTCTGTCTTTCTGTCTCTCACATGGCCCAGAGTGGACTTGAACCTGTGATCCTCCTCTGCCTTCCCAGTACTGAGATAGGCATGTGCTACTGGCCCTGCTTGTAAGTTTTATCAGTATGTATATAATATATTACTACGTTGTAAAGAGACCCAGAAGTTGTGTTTTCTTACATCTTCATTCCACTGATTTTTAGCTTTCTTTGAATCTAACAAGGTTTCTGAAGTTTTAGGTATCTGAAATTTAATTGTGTTTATATTATCTGCAGTATGTTATGCTAAGATGATTCTGCTGTTTGCTGATTTTTAAGTTACTCTTTTTTTTTTATGATAAAGACTTGGTATTTAAGACCTGAGTTTTCTTTTCAATAAATTATTTGAAACACTACCAATGTGATCTAGGAAGGCCTTGAAAATACCTGGAGTTTGTGGTGGAGCTATAGTTTGACCATAAGTCTTTTGAGAGACTAGATCGTGTATTGGGTATAAAATACTAATTGTATTTTTGTTTTGTTTTGTTTTGTTTTTACTCCTTTAATATTGATAATGTAACTAATTGTTTATGTTGTTCATATAGGTTCCAGCAACAGATAGGAATGCTTTAAGCTCACTCTGGGGAAAACTGGCCTCTGAAATCTTAATGCAGAATTGGGATGCAGCCATGGAAGACCTTACACGACTAAAAGAGACTATAGACAATAATGTGAGTTACACTTTTCCAGAATGATTCTTTGAAATTTCTATGGTGTTGTCGTGTTTTCTGATAAGGAAAAAAGTAAGAGCCTAAAAGGTTTCATAGTAGGTTTTATTTTGACCTAAATGCAAAATCAATGAGCTAGTTAATTAGTAATACTTAATCTTCTTGAAAACTGTCAGACATTTAGCTGTTAAAGAAAAGAATTTAAGCCTGGCCTGGTGGCGCATGCCTTAACCCCAGCGCTTTGGAGGCAGAGGCAGGCAAATCTCTGTGAGTTCAAGGCTAGCCTGGTCTACATAGTGAGTTCTAGGCCAGGCCAGGCCAGCTGGGGCTACAGGGAGACCCTATCTCAAAAAAGACCAAAAAAAAACAAAGAAAGAAAGAAAAGAATTTCAGCCTTTGCTTTGCTGCTGTCTTCCCTGTACCAGTGAAATGACACTGCCGTTGTTGGTGCTTCCTGTTACTGAAAGTGTTTGCAGAAGATGATGGTTTTCACCCAGTTAATGTCACCCTCGCCCCATGCTAAAGTGATGATAACAAAAGCATGATAGTTAAGGACATCAAAGAGCATGAAGAAAGGATTAGGGGTGGGGGGTCAGACCTTAATCATAATGACTCTAGAATATGACTATTCCTGGCATATGCCTTAGAGTAGTCTACTTTTGCTAACAGTTTTGAAAACAGTGGTGTTTATTCGCTTGTCTATTTTACTACTACATCTATTAATGTTTCCTATGTATACATTTCTTATCTTTAGTCTGTGAGTTCTCCACTCCAGTCCCTTCAACAGCGAACATGGCTCATTCATTGGTCTCTGTTCGTTTTTTTCAACCATCCCAAAGGCCGTGATAATATTATTGATCTCTTCCTTTACCAACCACAGTAAGTTACCTCATTGTGTTATTTTGGTTTTGATTGTCTAAAACCTACTTCTAACATTGGAATTTGTCACCTGTCATTTATTTGCCTTGTGTAGATTTGCTTGTTAATTGAAAGGTTCACAGGTAACTCTTAAATTATTGAAATTTACTCTAGGTCCTTCAAAGTTCTTTTTACAGTGTGGTCTCTGGGCCAGCAGCATAGATACCATATAGGATCTCAGGACTCGCCCTATAGTAATAAATGAGAATTTACATTTTAACAAGATCCTGGGTTATCCTAGAGTTTGTCCTCCATTTCTGTGGGTTGTCTACCTTTGGATTCAGCCAACTGAGGGTTGAAAACCCTTCAGGGGAAAAATTATATTTTTACTGAATATGTATAGATAACTTTGTTGTGATTATTCCTTAAATAATACAGAATGACTACAAACAGAATTTATATTTTATTAAGTATTATGATTAGATTATTTTGATTCAGAGAATGTGCTTAGGTTATATGGAAACATATACATATACATATTTTATAGTACTTGAGCACACATAGATTTTGATACCTTTTGGAATGCTACAGCCAATCCCCTATGTATACTGAGGGATGACTGTACATTCAAGTGTTAGGAATAAGAAGCTACACTAAATTATTAGAATGAAAGGAAAGAAAAAAGAAAACCTGGGGGGTGGATAATCACTATATGTATGTGATATATATCACTATATATCATGAAAGAATCCTTTGGGTCTCAGTTTGTCCTACCCAACCTTTGGTTCTTCTTACAATTATAAGAAATGCACTGCTCTGTGCTTTGTAAATTAGATCCTTCCTTGTTAGTCAGAAGTCATTACATTTTTCATTTATTCCTTTTACTTTTGAATAATTTTTAGTAAATCTTCAAAAATTGCATACAACATACTTGGATCATATTAAACCCCCTGCCCCATCTTTTTTTCAATCTACCCCCCATTTCCCTGTCTCCTGCAACTTTGGGTCCTTTTGTTTTTTAAGCTCATTGAGTCCAATTTGTGTTCCCCAAATAATCATGGATGTGGGGCCATCTCCTGGAGAATGGCCAGCCTACCAAGGCTCACATCCTTAAAGAAAACTGAGTCTCTCTTACAGGGTACTGTGGTGCATACCTTTGATTCCAGCACTCAGGAGGGAGAGGCAGGCTGATCTCTGAAATCAAGGCCAGGCTGGTCTATATAGTGAGTTCTAGGCCAGCAGGGACTACAGGGAAACCCTTTCTCAAAAAACAAACATACAAAACTGACTCCCAGCAACCATCAGTTGCCAGTAACTCCTCAGCTGAGAGACCCCTCCATGCTAGGGTTCTGTCAGGTTTGAGCTTGTGCTGGACTTGTGTATCCTGTCATAACTGCTGTGGGTTCGTATGTACAGTTGCCCTGTTCTGTCCGGAAGACACTGTTGTGTTGTCATCATCTACCACCTCTGGCTCTTAGAATCTTTCTAGCCCCTCCTTTTCAGTGATCCCTGAGATTTGGGAGGATGAGTTGCAATGTAGAACACTCTGTAGTCTTTTACTTTCTACTTGCTGACCAGTTGTGGTTCTCTGAGTTAAAACCCCACCTACTGCAAAAAGAAGTTCCTCTGATGAAGGTCAGAGAGATAGATTAATTAATCTATGGGTATAATGACAAGTTATTAGGGAATGGTTTAATCTTGTGTCCATTTAGCAGACTAATAGTAGTAGGGTTTCCCTTAAGGTCTGTAACCTATTTAGCTACAGGTTATTGGCCCTGACAGTGGTGGCAGGGATGGGTTCCATCTTGGGGAGCAGGCCTTAAATCCTACAAGAAGTGGTTAGATATTTTCTTAACATTTGTGCTACTACTGCACCTGCGGGTATATCTTGCCAAGGCCAGTTGTGATTGTAGCTCGCAGTGTTCAGAGTTGGGTAAGATAGATGATTACTTTTCTGGTAGTATGAACAGTACCATCCAGCACTATGAAAGCTAGCCAGTAGGGATGAAGCTTTGAGGTCAATACTTGATTTTTTTTCAAGGTTGTTATGTTGCTGAGGCACTCAAGTGTCTGTCCTGGAACTCAGAATCATCCTGCCTAAGATCACAGACCTGTATGATCACAGCCAGCAAAGAAGTCATTTTTCTAAAAATTCACTCTTCTAGCCTTGCTTGATGACCCACACCTGTAATCCCAGCACTCAGGAGGCAGAAGCAGGCAAATCTCTGTGAGACCAAGGCCTTTCTTGTATACATAGAGAGTTCCAGGCCAACTGGGGTTACAGAGAGACCCCGGCTCAAAAACCAAAACAAAACAAAGCAAAATTTACTCTTCTAAATCTGAGGATGTGGCTCAGACACAGTATGGTTGCTTTTGCCAAATATATATGAAGCCCTGGGAAAAGCAAAATAAAATTAAAAACTTAAAAACCCTAAAGCGGGTATTGTTTGGTTTGTTTCACTTTTGCTCAGCTGCGTCCAAAATCTTCAACACTTTATTTCTTGTTTCATTGGAATAACGGAAAACAAAATTGCTCTGTACAAATTTCATATTTGAATATATTTTTTTCTTCTATTTCTTTAATGCTTTTGTGCTGGATAGATTTAGTGTCAACTTGACATGCCTGGATTGAGGGAGCCTCAATTGGGGAATTGCCTCTATTGGAGTGTCCTGTGGCCATGTCTGAGGGGCATCTTCTTGATGAGTGATATGGGAGGGCCCAGCCCACTGTGGGTGGTGCCACCCCTGGGCAGGTAGGCCTGTGTTGCATAAGAAAGCAGGGGCCAGGGGAGCAAGCCAGTAAGCAGCTTTCCTCCATGGCCTGTGCTCCAGCTCCTGCTTCCAGGTTCCTGCTCTGAGTTCCTACCTTGGACTCCCTGATGAACTGTGACCTGGGAGATGTAAGCTGAATAAACCCTTTCCTCCCCAAGTTGGTAGTGGTCAGAGTGTTTTGTCACAGCAATGAAGAAACAAACTAAAACAACTTTGTAGTTTTGCTAAGTAACATAGGCTTTCAGATTCTAGTACTAACTCTTGGTTGCCTTCTGTAAGTATCCATATCCTTAAAAAATTTCTCTCTTCAAAATATTGAATCCTTATTTCAAAATTGAAACTTACTGTAGGATTGCTATTTGCGCTTTGTAGATTCGACATTTGCCTAATAGTAATAGCCCAAGATCATAAAGAGTATTTGGGTAATTACTCCATAGTATGACTTATTCTGATAGAAAGCAGTAAAGATTAACTACCCTGTTTTATACTTGTTTCTGTAATTTTCAAATTTTGAAAACAAAGTGATAATTTTTGGATATGTTAATGGCCTACATTGATCCCAACTGAGTTTCTTTAATAAACATGGTGTTTTGGTAGTCATTTTTGGAAGATTTTCAGGCCTCTTAAGTATTTGGCCTCTTTAGTTAAATGTTGATGTAATCAGCCAGGACTTGAGTTTAAAAGAAACTTACTTGATAGAAATGAAAACTACTTAGAGTAGTTTTGTCAGGGCATAATGTATAATGTAAGAACAGCATTCCTGTGTTCCAGCCTTTGTCATTGTAAACTCATCAGCCTTATTTAATTCTTTCCTGTAGACAGATTTCTGAAGAAGAAAACTCAGTCAAGTTTAAAAGAACTTATAGAGAAAACCAGAATGCCAACAGTAATTTAAATTGAATGTTAAAAATGCTAAGAGGTCTAAATTCATGGCACATTTGACCTGAATGTTCTGATCCTGCATGTTTAATATGTAAAACGGCTTATACTAGGCCAAAGGATGCTTTATGAGTGCTTCGGATCATTTATGACTAGATGTATTTAATGTACCATGAGGTTACAGTGACCTAACAGAGCTATCTTTAGGACCAGGATCATGAACACTTTTGGCATGCGTGTGGCATTAAATATTGATTGAAAGTTTGTTTTTTTTTTTTTTTTAATGAATTATAGTTTCTGGGTAGAGTGCAGTGAAACTTAAAACCTAATGTCAATTAAACAAAAAGATAAATAAAAAGCAGGGCATGATACTATGCTCCTATACTCCTAGTTACTTGGAAAGTTTAAATGGGAGGATCAGTTGAATTCAGGAGTTTGAATTTTTGTGTATTTCATACAGAACATCTCAATCAATCATTTATACCCCCTTTCCCACTGGCACTCCCGTAGCCACCCCCTCCCCACCACTGGAATTCATACATTTTGTCTTTTGTGTTAAGGACTATTGTGTCAAGTTAGTGTCTCTAGGTGTTCCTCAATGCAAATTCATCTACTGAGGTCTAGTCAGCCTATGTAGAGTCCCTTACTTTAGGATGATTAGCTCTTCCTCATTCAGCAGTAATGTGTTACCAATACTTCTTCAGCTAATATTGGGGTCTGCTGTCCATTGCTGGGTTTTTGTCTGCATGAGATTTGTGTATGCTGACACCATTGCCATAGAATCATATGAGCAGGGTCCCAGGACCTTGTAGGACTCTGTTTCCATATGGTCATGCACCTCCTCCCTGGCTTTACAATCTTTCCACCCCCTTTCCACAATGGTCCCTGAGCCCTGGGTGGGTAAAATTTATACAGGAGTCCTGTCTAAGGCCCAGCATTCTGTAGACTCTTAATCTCTATGCTTTGGCCATTTGTGACCTTTTGTGTTCCTGACCCTCTGTTGCATGAGGGCTCTTCATTAATGAGAACTGAGAGATTCATGAGTGTTCTCTTTACCCCTATTCTATGTTCTGTAAGCCTTAGGTGTAGAGGTTGTATTGTAGGTGTGCCACTTAGGCTTGGGCAGTTCACAGACAATGTATGTGACCAGTTGTGATTCTCAATGATAGTCTCCATCTGGTACAAAGAAAGCTTCTTTATGAGTGGTAACTGGGATATTTGTCTATATACATATTTTTCACATAGTAAGAAATTATATTAGTCTAGGGATATGACAGTCTGGGGGTTTTCTCTAAGATCTATGCCCTCTCCAGCCATATGTATGTATTTGGCTATGTTTATAGGAGGGTGAAGGAGGGTTATACAAGAAACCTTGGAGCTAAAGAGAAAGAAGGAGCTCAGGATAGGTGGGACCATAGGAGACTTGTATTATAAAGGGAGAAATGGGGAAAATGGGAATACTTTAAATGGGGAAGCCATGGTGGAAGGATCATACAGGAGAGAGAAAAGAAGAGAGAAATAATGCCTCACTAGTTTTAAAAAGCCATTAGTCCAACAACCTAATGACAAATTATACATACAATGTCTAAATTAGTCCATGTGTACATCTGAAGTGTACGTTACAAGAAGCAGTGCCAGACAGGAGAAACCTTCCTTTGAGTTTTTGGCCAGGGTGGTCCAAGAGACTCCCCAAATTACACAGGCTATTGCCCTTGATTGCCTCCTAGAACTTGAAGGTAAGACCCTACTGCTGATGACAGAACGTACTTCAGACCCAGGATTTGAAGCAGTGGATCTAGAACTGACCTGGAAGCCACCTCCACTGAAGGCTAGCTTTTATAGCTTTGGAGAGCACTGCAAAAGTGCCAAGGGAAAACATCAATCGATGGTCCAACACCAGCTTCAAGACCAAATAACCACATCAGTGACTGGCAGAGTATATGACATTGGTGCAGTAGTGGCATTTTTATCTTGGGGTCAATCAACAGCTACCTAATTGGACTAAAAGCCCACTCAATGGGAGGAAACTCAAGAATGCTGTAGTACTTTTATGTCCAACTTCATGTCCTCTTTAAAAAAAACAAAAAACAAAACAACTATGGAATCTAACTGGTGTCACCCAGATGCTCTTGGGTTTGAGTCCAGCACCTGGAGCCTGGTCATCCTACCAGGTGTCACATCCTTAAAGAAAACTGACTCTCTTCCAGCAGTTATCAATTGCCAATAGTACCCCAACTAGGAATGGAGACGCTTGCCCTACCTTTTCTTCATGCTGGGTATGTCTCTCTGGGGCTCACGCAGATCTTGTCCATGCCGCCACATGTGCTGTGGGTTCGTTTGTTAAACTGCCTTGTATATGGAAAACACGGTTTCCCCATCTCTGTCTCCTGGAATCTTTCTCTGCAGAATCCCCTCTTCTGCAGTGATCCCTGAGCCTTGGGAAGAGAGAACGGAATTAAAAGTGAAACACTGAATTGACACTGAGTATGCCACTGCATACATCCTCATCAGACTCTAAGCACCCAGTCCCAGTATTCTCAAGTGACTGGAGAGCAACTGTATGAAAATTAGGAAATTTAAAATACTACATCATTGCAGAATTTACTAACAAAAGCTAATGAAAATAAGGTTTCAACAAAGTTTCTGATTATTTCTTTTGTTAGCGAAATAAGAAAAGTCATTTAGTAGCGGTGACTCAGTTATGTTGCTTTTGATTTTTTTTCAGCCAAAGAGACACCCAGAGAAAATAAACTTATTTAAAACTAGAACAGTTGCTCAGAGTTGAGGGTATTGGGAGCTTGCTGCTCTAGGGCAAGGCATACATTTTCTGAGTGATGATAACTGCCTTCATCCACTGTTGTCAAACACTGACTTTGAGATTTACTTTTGCTGCAGTCTCAATGTTCAGTCTAAAATTTCAAAGTAAAATAGTGCTTTCATGTAAAATTTATGCTACAGTAAAGTCACTTAAATGAGAACATAGTATGAATCACAAGTCACGCCTTGCTACTTTGTATATTTTCCATTCTGTCAAAAGTTAAAACGAAGCAGACCATCCTTCCTGCACAGATTTATGACAGATATTTTCAGAAATTGCAGTTCCAGAATGTTTAGACCTCATTGTAAGTATAGAGGAAATTTCTGTGTTTCAAGATGCATTTAACTAAGCTGAATTCAAGTGATGAATCTGTAATAGCTTCATGCTCAGAAGCAGTATTGATGTGATATAATTGAATGATGCAAGCAGTAATGTACTCAAAGTAAGGTACTTGATGATTGATAACAGGATTTACTTCGAGTATCTGTCCGCATGAAAAATGTTTCAGAGACTAAATAGAAAGGGTTGGGGATGTAACATAGTGGTGGAGCACCTGCATGGATTTTATGAAGCTCTTTGTTTGAGCCCTAGTACTGCAGAAGAGAATGAGTGAATACTAGACATTTGAAATCTCATGTAGGTCAACTTAACCAATAGGTATTGGCAGTCAGTATTTTATTTATGTATAAAACAATGGCTTTGTTTTCCCCAGGATGGTCTCTCATTGTAGCCTAGGCTGGTCTTGAACTTGCTGTGTAGTTCAGGGTGATTTGAACTCCTGATTCTTTTGAAAATCCCAGGTGCTGCAATTACAGTTTTGCCCTGTGATGCTCAGCTCATTTGTAGTCAATTTTAATAAGTACCTATACATTTGAACCCAGTTAATTTTTCTATAATGAAAGAGTTCTGTTGGTCTTGTTGCTTAATTTGTGTCTTGAAAAGTTAAATTCAAATGTTACATTTGAATTTTGTTAGTAAGATGTTTTAGAAATGTGACCTCTTTCTATCAGCACCTTACAATCCTATTTGTTCTGTGCATGCAGAGAGCTGAGAATCTTTTCTAGCTCTTTACAAAAACTTTGTCAACCTCTCGTATGTATTCACAGTAGCATGATGTCCCAAGGAAGTGGTCCACTAGTGAAAATGAAAACATTGTACAAAGTTTAAGTAAAGAAAAATACAAATTTAGTATCATATACAGTAAAATTGCAAATTTGGGATAAATTTATGAGGAAGTTTCATAAATGACGACTGGAATGATCAACTGCTCTGAAAATGGTGGTTAAAAGCAACCCTCATACTTTGTACTTAATACAGACAGATGACCATAGCAAGAGAATATGAAGTAAACTATTGTTTGGGTATCGCAATTAAATTTGCCACTTGAAACCAGGTGAAATAGCTTTTAGCTGATGCAGTTTAGGTCTTTTACTGGAAGTTATGTTCTTGAGAATATATACATCTTGCCTTATATAGGGAGATTTTAAGGGAGGCCAGGTATTGAGTATTAAATTCTTAGGTCCTTAAACTAGATCTTAAATTTGTGTAAGTGCCTACTTTTCTTGAATCTCGAAAGTACTTCGCACATAACAAAGTGTTCACTTCTTGTTCAGCAGTGATAAGTAGATTCTTAGCCTCCTGAATGAACTTTCTATCTAAGTGACAGTACTAGCCAGCATTTTCTTTTGAATTGCTATGATTGGATTTTACTTTTTTAAAGAAATATTATTTTTATTTGTTGTATGAGTATACCACCTGCATACATTTAAGTGCACCTGTGTCATGCAAACCAGCAGAGGTCAGAAGAGGGAGTTAGCCACTATGTGACTGCTGGAAATTGAACCCAGGTCCTCTGCAAGAGCAGCCAGTGCCCTTAACCACTGAGCCATCTCTTGCTTGGTGGTTTTCCCCTTAGAGTAGTCATTTCTTAAAATGTTTGCTCTCTTAGGCTAAGGATAAATCAGTGCAATCAGATGTTTCCTTTAATTCATCCTACATATAGAAAATTGGGTAAGTTTAATAAGTATGAAGTAATGTTTATATTTTTATGTTAGGTACCTTAATGCAATTCAGACAATGTGTCCACATATTCTCCGCTATTTGACCACTGCTGTCATAACAAACAAAGATGTCCGGAAACGCCGACAGGTGCTGAAAGATCTAGTGAAAGTTATTCAACAGGTAAAACCAAAATCCTTAAAGTATTGAAGATTTAGGTCTAATCTCTTTTTCTGAAGTTCTTAGGTCTTAAGGTAAAAATGTAAAAACATTCTTAAAAAAGAATAGCAGGGAAGTATACCTAAAGTTTAGAAGAGAGATAAACCTTCACTGAATATTTGCTTTGAGAAATCCATGGTTTCTTTATGATAGATGTAGTATTAATGATTAGTGCTATCTGAAGCTAGCTGGAGCCATGTGGTGCTTGGGGAAGTCATTACCTCCATAATTCCAGATGCTGACCTGTAATCAGAATATAGGGTTAGAAATCTCTAAGTTGAGCAGAGGTTTCAACTCTTGCTCTTTGATTTTTAGTGAGCTTCTCAGGAAAAGGGAAATTGAAAAAACTTTATTTGATCTAATACAAAGAAGTAATTGTTATACAGTGGGGTGTGGTTCCCTTTATATCTGGGAAAGTTCATCACTGTTTATTGACTAAAGGAGTCTAGATAGTATGGAAGTTTGAAAACCTATGGAATGAGAGAATTGAGATCTTGGTTTGGAAGATAAAAGCTTAATGTGTTACCTGGAATAAAGGTGAAGGGAGTTGAGAAGATGCTGATATCCTGTGTTCTTTGAATTAATGGTAAAGAAGAAAAGTGAAGGTTGGGAGATCTTGGAGGCAATGTGCTGAACAGTGAATAACAGATCTAACTGGACATTTGGCTTAATTTACAGGAGTCTTACACATACAAGGACCCAATTACAGAATTTGTTGAATGCTTATATGTTAACTTTGATTTTGATGGGGCTCAGAAAAAACTGAGGGAATGTGAATCAGTAAGTATGAATTTTTACTAAACTACATTAAAAAATCTTTAGATGTGGTTGAGTTAATTTTTCAGTCTCAAAGTATTAAAATAATTATATAAGAAGAAATCTAACTCGGGAGGCAGAAGCAGGCAGATCTCTGTGAGTTCAAGGCCAGTCTGGTCTACATAGTGAGTTCCAGGCCAGCTGGGGGTACAGGGAGACCTTGTTGCAAAAAGACATAATAATAGTAATAATCATCATCATCATCATCATCATCATCATCTAAATGGGAGATTATTGGTGGAATGAACACATTTGTCTCCCTTTTATTAGGGAAAGTAAAGCACCAGAGCTCTTTTAAATGCGTGCATTTATGTCTTAATTCTAGATCTTATCCCAATTGGATAAATATATTTCATATGTACGTGCACATAACAACTGTAATTTATAGGTGGAATTACCTATTGATAGGTGATTATATTTTAGCATTTGCTATAATCTAGGTGGGATTTTTGTTTTTGTTTTTGTTTTTGAGGACAGGGTCTCTCAGCTGACCTGGAACTCACTGTGTAGACCAGTCTGGCAGGCTTTAATCTCACAGAGGTCCATCTGCCTCTGCCTCCTGAGTGCTGGGATTAAAGTGGGTGCCACCACATCCATCCAGCCTTAGGCAGTTTATTATAGCTACAAATTTTTAAAATAATCTTTCCTATTGTTTAGTTATTCATCAGTTATGTTAGAACAACTCTGAAACTTTGAGTGCAGTAGCTTTAAATAAACTAGTTCACAGGTTTAACAAAGAATTTTTCTGCTAAAATATAGCCACATTTTTTTTAACTCACATTCACAACATATTTGGGGGAGGGGCGCATATTCTTGCTATGTATCTTAAGCTGATCTCAAGCTTATAATCTTTGCAGTTGAGCCTCTCGTGCTGGGATTACAGGTGTGTTTTGCCATGCTCAGCTAGTTTCATGTTTTAAAATAAATTTTTTGAACAAAGTGGGCAGTTTGACTAAGATCCTATTTCTCTAAAGGAAAAAAATATACGAATCAAATACACATTGAGGTAATTTTCAAATATTTGTCAAAATAGAAAATTTAAATCCAGTTTGATAGTTTGTATCTGTATAATCACATATGCATTCCACATTATGTATTTGTTACTTCACTGTGCTAACTATTGGGGCTTTACTGTGTACCCAGAAGAGTCAGAGCACCCCTGGTTGCTATTCTTCAAGTTGAAATAATCTCTTTTAATTATTTCTATCTTTCAAATAGGGGGTGCTCTTTATTGTTTTCTTTTGTGGTTTTCCAAGTCCACTTTTTTGGTTTCAGAAATTCATGTAAGGTATTTTATTTTAAGCAGCTAGAAAAGATGCGTTATCTGCAGAGCACTAAATGTAGCATGTTGAAAAATCTTTGTCAGGAAGTTGCTCTGATAATTTTAAATCATCAGTTGAAATGAGACATTGGAAATTTGCTGGGCTTGGGGAGTAGTATTCTTCTATCTTTGGCTACTTATTTAAAGAATTAAAGATTTGAGGGACTGGAAAGATGGGTCGGCAGTTAAGAGTACTGTCTGCTCTTGTAGAAGACCCAGGTTCACTTCCCAGCACCCACATGGTGGCTAACAACCATCCATAGCTCCAGTTCCAAGGAATCTTGACACCTTCTTCTAGCCTCTGCTGACATTGCATGCATGTGATGCACTTAACATACATGCAGGCAAAACACTCATACACATAAAATAAAA